GTCGAACTGCAATAAAGGGCTCGGCCCAAGCCAACATCAGCTGAGACCAAGGCTTTCGCAAGCCACTTTGGCGAAAATCTGCGCGAAGGGTCGGAGTCGGAGTGTTTGGCAAGCACCAAGAGCTCCAGGAATAAGAACGGGAAGAATACACAGGAAAACACAAGAGACCAATCGAGACCACAAAGCAGAAAGGGCCCATCCGTGCCTGATTGGGAAAGCATTCTGGGACCTCGAGAAACAATTGTCGGTTGTGCTGCAATACCACCAGCACCCAAACGGTCATCAAGAAAGTCATGACCAGTAGTAAGACATTGCGCTTACGCCAAGCAACGGGTTGCATAGCAGCTCTGCTCGGCATCAGTCGCAACAGGGCCTGCCCGCAGGAAAGCCGAAACTGCCAAGAACGAAAGCAAACTACTTGCACAGGGGATCTGTGGAGCTCAAACCTGCAGCAAGGCAAATGAATTACGCGAATGGCCGTGCTGACGCAACGTAAGGCTCCGAGCACCGTATCGAATGACGTATCAGCATAACATGTCGGCGCCTTGCTGGTTAGGCTAAAGGGCGGCGTGTCTTCGAAGGCCAGTAGGGGCTCGTCCAGCCGCCCAGCTGCATCCATCCCTGCAAAACATGATCCGCACAGGAATCTTCTTCCAATGCATCAAGCTGGTCATGCTCATTCATTTCTCAGCGACTCAGTGGGGATGTATGGCAAGTTTCCAGGCCTTCTCGGCAGCATGTTCATTGGATGTGTGCACTCGAGCCGAATGAACAACATTTAACACGTGGCATGCAAGCAAGCTCACGGGTGAGCATGGAAATCTGTGCTGGGTACCTGATGATGCAAAAGTCATCTGCGAACGTGGTGCTTTGCAAACTGTCCTGGCCTCGCACGGTGGCCTCCAATACCCTGGCACCAGGAGACGTAACGACTTTGAGCCAGACAGAAGAGTACTATCATCTACTGTCTGATGAAAACTCGCTCGGCCACAAGTCCTTTCCATCAAACAGCCCAGCAACAACGCATGAATGCACTTACCAAATGTTTTTGCCTCAGAACAATGTCCACATGGCCTTTCTTGAAAACAAGCCTTCGATGACGTTGACAAACCTTTCTCTGATCCTGCTCAAGGACGTTGAGATACTGCTTACATTTCTGGTCAAGCAGATGGGCACATTCTCCATGCAATAGCCTTCCAATAAACACACAGGGGAGTGAGCATTCAGGAAAATTGGGAAGCATGGGGTCCCAACGGGAACCTCACCGACTTCAAGGTTTATGCAGGGGAAACGAACAACTAGGCAACCGAGCCTAGCTGGATTGGGATGCAAGCGTTGAACCAAACAGTAAGTGCAGTCACAAACTTCATGGAAACAGGGCAAGAACGTAAACTTGCACTGCAGTACAGACGTTGTTTTAGGGCCCCTCTGCCAAACCTACCAGGGCCGCTGCGCTTGTGGCTGCCGACGCTGCCCAGCCCTTTCCGAAACCACCCCAAGCCCAGGGATGCCTTGCATGCCGGAAGTCTTAAACAATCACTTGGCTAAGCCTAAAAGGCCCGGAAGAAGCCCTTTGGCCCAAAAACAACCCAAAACTCTCGACCCTGTGCCGGGCCCAAACCCCGAGGGCAAGCGCAGTGTTTGCAAAATGTCTGCTGAAATCATCAAAAGCTAAGCTAGCTAAGTTCCCAGATCACAGGGAGGAAGATTTTCCACAGGTGAGCCAACCATGTGACCAACATTGTAGGATTATGTCCCGAACGGAACACAGAACATGTGGATTTTACGCGTTGGTGCAACATGGGGCACATGAGCTACAAATCTGGCCAGCCAAATCAGCCAAAGCTTGCAAAAATGTTTGGGGGCTTGGTACCTGCATGCTTCTGTTCTGTACATATAACATCACAAAGTCAACCACTCTACCCCACAGCAAACGCACGTGGGTGCCATTTGCCGTCTTTGGACAGGAAAATAATATTACGGATACTTCCCCGCAGGCTTGTCGCGGGACTCTCTGCGGAACTCTCTGGCGATGCACTCCAGGAATACTTAGCTGATCAAGCTTTTCCTGACAAGACTCTGCAGACAGATATCCACAGGTCAAGCCTGGTGCAGCACAAGGTGCTGGAGATCTGGCCACCAAGCCATGCGGAAATTGCCTGAAGCGACATTGACGGAACAGGAACGGCGAATGCCCGGCTTGGCCCAACGTGCCTCTCCATCAACTCCAGAGTCCTTCAAGTTTCCAACTCCTTCGGCATGCAGCAGCATGCAGCAGCATGCAGCAGCATGCAGAAGCACGTGGCAGCATGAAGCAGCATGCAACAGCATCCAACAGCATGCAACAGCTTGCAACAGCACAGGATGCTCAAGGACCTTTCCATTACCTGCCCATACTCTTTCAACAACCTGTCATGTAACTCACAAGGAAGGTTGCAACGACCAATGCTCCTCGGTCACAAGGTTGACCCAAACATCTTTGCCATGTAGCTGCGAGCTCCGCAGCAGCAGTGTGTGTGCGGCTCCTGTCGTAGGCCCCACTGCACCCCTCAGAAGCTTGACACTCTGCACTTTTGTTCTGCGAGCCCGCATTGCCTCGGAGGCAATCTCCGAAGCACGTGGGCACCTGGAAGCGCCTTAACACACACACACACAAACACACACACACACACACACACAAACAAACAAACAAACAAACAAACAAACAAACAAACAAACACAAACACAGACAGAAACAAACAACAACAAACAAACAAACAAACAAAAAAACAAACAAACAAAACAAACAAACAAACAAACAAAACAAACAAACAAAACAAACAAACAAAACAAACAAACAAAACAAACAAACAAAACAAACAAACAAAACAAACAAACAAAACAAACAAACAAACAAACAAACAAACAAAACAAACAAACAAAACAAACAAACAAAACAAACAAAACAAACAAACAAAACAAACAAAACAAAGCAAAAAAACAAAACAAACCAAACAAACAAACAAACAAACAAACAAAAAAAAAAAAACAACCAAACCAAAACAAAACAAACAAACAAACAAAAAAAAAAAAAAAACAAACAAACAAAAAAACAAACAAACAAAAAACAAACAAACAAACAAACAAACAAACAAACAAACAAACAAACAAACAAACAACAGTCTCACAAGACATTCAACAATTTGTGACTCTAACAACCCGTGAGTGTCACAATGTGTGACTCACCAGTACTCGCACCACAAAGTGTCGCAACTATTCACAAACATCCCTGCGGGAATTGGCTGGGCTGCCGACGGTGACTTCTCCAGCTACTTGCAATTGGCCAAGTGGCTTCGTGTTTCCTCCCGTTGCGAATTGAAAGAAGCTCTACGAACAGCAGCCCTCTTCACACTCCACTTGTGCCCTTGCTCAAGGCTTTGTTTGGGCATTATGCAGCCAAGCGGCTAGGTTTGGTGGGCTTGCATGAGGAAACACAAAGTTCCCGCGAAGCATCAAGCTTAGCAGGCTCTTCCTGCGCAACATTTGGAGTGGCTTGACTAACACCTGAAGCTTTGAAGCTCTACAGCTCCCAGTCTCAAGCTTAGCAGTTGCAGCCCTTGAAGCGTCGACGCACTGAGTTTCGTCTGAAGATCTGTCGCATTTGGCTTTGAGCCGTCGTGCTGCACCTGAGCCTTTGGTTTCGATTCTTCGCCTGAATCTCTGAGCCACTGTTTCTTCACCTGAAGCTCTAACTTCGCCTCAAGGACTCCGCTTCGAATATCAGCGCTTCAAGTCTAGCAGTAGCACAAACCACCCCTTGGGTGTCATCCACATATGGGAATATCAGACAGACATGACCGAGACTCTGACCTCGCCGTGGGTCCGAGAGCCCCTTCTTGCTGGCTGGCCTCGCTTACAACAGCTCGGCACCGTCTGCACCAAGGGCTCTTTGCAGTAGGATGCTGGCTTGCTGCGGATGAATGCAGATCGGCGATGGTGTCGTCATTCTCTACTGAGAAAGCACCTTTGCCCAGCATCAGTGCCCGCCGTCATAACGGCAGAACAGTGTGGGGTCCGGCATGCATCTTGGAGATCAGCGTCTGCATCCACCTGGAAACTGAACTCGATACCATTGTGATGTAACTCCTGCTGCTGTTCGGGTCTTGTGGGGCATCCGAGCGGGGCGTGCTGACATTCGCAACACCTTGTCGGGGGAACTCCCCCACACCCCACCTCAGGCATACTGCTTATCAGCTCAAGGAAGCGCTCTTGGGAAATATCTGCGACTGCTTTCCGTCTCTCCTGTGAGAACAAAAGCATGAATCAACGCAAAGCTGTTTTGTCTTGCCTCAATCAAAAGCGGTCCTCTGTCGAAGCATTCTCCAATGTGCACATGAAGGAACCTCAAACAGCAGGTCCAACTTCCAGCGGGCTCGTGAGCAAAAGTACATGCAAAACACTGAAAATACCCTGCAGTGGTCACTGCTTCGTTTCGCAGAAGCAAACACCAAGAGCAGTATAGCAAATAGATGCACGTAGCAGGCAGCTTCTGCTCAGGCAAGTACGAAAAGTTTCGGCGCCGGACGTTGCCTGGCTCCTTTCACAACAAGGCCGAATCAATCCGGAGCCTTTGTGGCATAGCATCACCTGACAAGTCTCTTCAGTCCTTTGCAGTTGTGGCTCCGAGCTGGTGCTGCTTGCTTCCTGGCACTCACTACTACTCCCAGCACCTCCAAGCGATTTTGCCACTGCCACGAATCCCTGCAGCTCCTCCCATGGTGTGAGACCCTCGTCCTGTGAGTCCACCAGGTCCTGCATCACCAGGACTTGCATGCGAGCTGCTCTCTTTCGGAAACAGGCCTCGCAGAAACTGGCATACAAATCACAGCTTGCCAGTGATGTCGCCAACCTGATGCGTACCGGGCGGTGGGCCGGTTAAGCTCCCAAGAAAGCAAACGCACATGTCGAGCAGCTTCTCATTTCTCACAGCACACATGGCGATGCGAAGAAACTCTGCCAGCTCAGCGCTTTGTAAGGCGCTGGAAACACGCGTACCCCATAACTACCAAGAAGAAGGCGCAAAGAAGAAACCTGAGCTGTCAATCAATGAACGTTCTTGATTCAGAAAAGTACTGAATGTAATGGTTTTGACCACCGGGCCGAGCGACATCAGGTTGGTCGCGAAGTACACCCAGAACGCCTCATCCTTCTTTGCTGTGATCTCACTGATGGGGTCGATTGTCCACTCAAAGAAAAGTGGGTGCACTGATTGGAGACGATATGTAAACTCGGCATTCTCCACGGCGAGCCGGAAGTTGTAGTCGTCGTCCCGGTTCAATAACCTCAGGCCGCCACGTGCTCCTGGGATCCCTACTGCTCCACATGTGAAGTTGTCCCCACTGTCAGCGCAACAGCCCTTGCCCGCGGCCCAGAGATCGTAGGTTGCAGGGCGTGGTTGGTCAGCGGCACCAATGATGGGGGCAACGCAATACGTACTCGAGTTCTGGTGCCTGACTGGACGGGGTGCGATGCGCAACATGCAAGTACATCAGCAGGAACAAACGAGAGACGCAGGAGCAATGCACAACAAGAAGAAAAAGATGCCAGTGCCTTCGCGCTGCGCCATGGCACGAGTCAGGTCTAAAGACGAACCTTTGGCAAAGATGATGCGTCCTGCGTCAAGAAGCTGTTTCCCTGCTGCACGCGCAGGGTTCACGTTGTCATAGCTGTCCAGGCTGGAGATGTCATAATAGCCCTTCATGTGTTTCGTGGCCAGCACGGACCCAACAATTGACCCAGCCACTAAAGCAACCAAGGACAGTATTGCAAGCGCTGTCCACCATGCATAACCACGCATAAAACGCGGCTGACTCTCCCCTCCGCTGCCCTTTCTTAGCCACCGACCCCTGGAGAGCAATGCCGCAACTATTGCCAGAAGCACAAGTGTCGCAGTTGCACAGATCATTACACTTCCCAACCATGGATGAAGATACACTGCCAACGACATCAGCCCCCAGCTGAGAGCGGCAAAAATGGCCCAAGGCATCAGAACCAAAAGCGCCAACTGTGCTGTGCTGACAACAAGCAGCCGGCACGTCATGGGTTCGAAGATGCGTCCTTGCCAATCGGCACTGCCATAGTCCGCGGATTTCGAGTACATGGAAGAGTATGGGTTCATTAGCCCGTGCTGTGGATGGACAGGCACGGGACGTTTACGCAATCGGATGTTTTTCCTGAGCCAACACTGTGGCTGCAGTGCGATCATCTGCCATAAGCTCCTGCTCAAGTGTGTCCATGTCACATGTCCAGTAAAATGACACGATTGACCACCGCAATATAATGCAATCAACATCACATGCAGATGCACACTCACATGCACACACACACACACACACACAGACACACAGGCACACACACACACACACACACACACACACACACAAAGACGGATGAGCACCACTTCGTTTTGGGAGAAGGCGCTGTTGTGTTGCAGGCTTGCGCTCTTGCTGCAAGCAGGATCCGTCTTGTGTGTTGTGCCGCATGTCGTCACTTGCCGCAAATGCCGCCGCCATGCTGCGGGTAGTGCGGCAAACTTTCAATGGCCTTCGCGCTCACATCTTTATTGCATCTGCCTATTTGTTTTTTTTCAAGAATGTGCGCCCCCTTCTTCATGTGAACAAACCTGCGTGCAACCAGTGGTTCGATGCACCACCTTTGGTGCTATCGTCGTGTAATTGCGCATCTTCCGGCGGCATCACTACGCAAGAACGTTGAATCATGCTGTTTTCATCGCATGTGTTGTTCCAAGTTCCCCTTGCACGCGCATCATCACGCACAGAAACTGAGGAACGAGCTGCGAGCTCAGTGTTTGGGTTTTCGCTAAACGCAGCTCCAGCAGCTCCTTCAACAATCGCTGCTGAGTTCTCTCGCTGGTGGCGCAGGTGACGCGTTCCATTCTGGCGCGTCCTTCTGCCTCAGCAACGTCTGCAATTCGTCCTAAGCTTCGGCGAACCACAAGCAATTGTTTGCAACGCCACTCAAACAAGCCATCAGACATCAAAGCGGGTCGGCCACTCCTGCAGAACCACATCCTCTTCTTCCGGGCTGTCCAGATCTGGATCAGAGTCCGAACATCCTGCCGTTCCATGTGGCGTGAAACTTTGTGTGTTGCTGTACTGGACAACTACAGTGACTGCCCATCAACGGCATCGGTCCAGCTTCGCTACATCCATCGCTGCTGATCGCCTGCACTTGACGCGCATGTTCTGTGAACATGACCCTTGATTTGACACAGGAAGCCTTGCCTGCACGTCACCTGCTGCGAGACCGCCTGCAAACTGACATGGTCCAGCAACGAACCGAACGTGAGCGGCCGACATGCGTTCATCGTCTGCCTGGAACCTCTTCGGCACGAAAAGCTTCCTTCATTTGGGCCAGGTCCCGCTCCATAGCTCCAATGTGAGCCTCAAAAACGTGTAGAAAACTGATGACTGATGCGCCCATGTCCTGCTACAGGCCAGTGCTCCTAAGCCAGATCATGCCAAATCAACATAATGTCAAACCCTTTTTTTGGCGACTGCAGACGACGGTCACCGGGTCGCGGCCAACTGCGAAAAGTGCATGGCCTGGAGCGGCTTCGTGGTGGGGGAGCGGTAGGCCGCTGGACTGTGGGGCGTCTGCCACTGCGCGTCAGCCAACATTTCGTGAAAGTTTGGCGCCGTTCCAATGACGCAGGAATCGCAGGACTCACAGGCCACCGCAGCTCAAGGAGGGAGCTGGCAAAAACGCGCTGCGCCGGCACCACCAGCAAGCTGGCCCACGTGTGACCCAGGCCGCTTGCGCTGCCCGTCGGAGTGCGAGCAATGTAGACTCTTCCTCCATGAACGCCACAGCAAATGACTAGGTCATCCAGCGACTTGGGGGAGATTGTTTTCTCGCACACTTTTACCACCTGTCGGAGCGCGGTCCAAGTGCAAGCTACGCTCAGCCACGCGCCGGGAGTCGAGGCTCGGGGCGGCGGCCTCAAGCCATCGACCCTCTTCGAGCACCTCATGCAAAGCCGGGGCTCCGGCAGCAAAGGCGACGGACTCGAGGGCAAGCTCAAGGACGGAGGCGGCGAGCGCCCGCTGCGCTGCAACGGCGATGAGGCCACTCCAGCGGGCGACGCACGCGGCGGCTGCGGAGGAGCGCACCACGGCATGGACGCTGGCAGCGCGCACGGGCAAGGAGCCGCAGGAAAGTGACGGTTTCGATCCCCCATCGGCCCCCGACCTCAAGGCCGAACACTACCAAGCGGCAACGGCGGGCACGTTGCAGTTCAGGGTAGGTGTCACGCCGTTTCCGCTGCGTCACAGCGCGGATAGCAGTGGCCGGGCGGGAGTCCGCTCTTTGCCCCGAGTGAGAGGGGACACGAGCGTGGTGTCAACGGCTAGCTAGGCCCCACCACAAAGTCAAGCCGTTGCAGACGATCTTGATGCGGCGAGCGTCGTGGACCGGCTTCAGCAGGTTCATGTCCACCAACCGCACGTTACGCCCCGGCCTCTTGGCTGACACGGGCAACGGCACGCTCGAGGGGCAGTGTCCGAGATGCAAGGGCTCCGGACGTCGCGCACGCCGCGCGGTGGTCCCCAAGGGCGTCGAGCTGCCCGCGGCAGGAGCAGGCATGCGGGGCCAGGGGCAGTGGGAGTCGCAAGCGCGGCAACAAGAGTACGCGAAACTCCGCACTCGGGATGATCACCCCTTCGTGCGTAGGCCGGACGGTGAGGGCACGGGCAGCATGCGGGCTGCGACAACAGCAGCGCTCTGGATGCGGGAGACAAGCTGGCGAAATGCATCCGGAAGGCGCGCTGATCGCAGGCACGGGCAGCATGATGCTGCCAACCGCGCAGGCAGTCGCCAGGCTGGTCGGGGGGTCCATCAAACTCAACGGGGGCGGACTGTGCGACATCCCAGGCTGGCACGTCGCACCCCTGGGCGCGGAGGAAGTCAGCAGCATGCGTTGCCGCGACAAGCAGCGCCAGGATGGGTAAGCGCCTGGACGGCTACGAGTGGTGACCTCGCTCGCACCGCTGGCAGGGCGCCCGTCTTTGATGCGGCCGCGCGCCCCTTCGAGCACGCGCTCCAGGCCAGGGCTGGGTCCGATGCTTGGGCTGGCCAAGTGCAAGCAGCGCTGGAGCTCCACCCAGACTGCACGCTTGTGTCCCTCGACGGCCGCAGCGCGTATGACACCATCTCGCGGGCGTCATTCCTCACCGCGCTTCGCGACGTCGCGCTGGAACTCTTGCCCTTCGTGCGGTTGTCTGACGGGCAGCACCTATTGCTGGTGGGACTGAAGGTCGCATGCGTGAAGAGCAGCTCTTGCTCGACCAACTCCCTGAGCTTTTTTTGATCTCCAGTCCCGATCTCCAGTGCGCCTGGCTCTTGCTCGCCGAGTGCGCCTCGCCGCGCGCTAACCATGTGCTCAGAACGGTTCCGTTGGATCATGTCGCAGCATACGCAGTAGCCCACGATGCTGCGTTATGGGACACGCTGATGCGCTGCTTGGGAGGCGTGTCTGCGGAATTCGAGCCGGGCGCGCGTGCGCTGGCGTTCCTTCCCGCTGCGCTCGGCGGGGCTTGGCCTACAGGACGCGACCCGTGAAGCGCTGCCAGCTTACTGGGCTGGCTGGGCTGACGCCCTGCGTCATCCAGGCCCGCTGCCCTGACGCAGCACGGACCTGCGCTGAGGCTTTGGAGCAGGCCCGGAACGACACTGCACCCTGCCTCCGCAGCGCCGCGGGTGCTAGAGCAGTCCTCCAAGCCGAAGGATGGGCTGACTGCCCTTCTTGGTCGGCACTGGCGGCTGGTGCCCGCCCGGCTGCCCCGGATGCGGACGAAGCGGGGCTTGGCGACTGGATGCGACTGGCCTCATGGCTGGCAGCGGCTCGCGTCGCAGACTCGCAACCTCTACTACTGCGATTGCGTGCTGCGTCAGGGAGAGGCCTTGCTGCGCTCCCAGGCCGGACCGCTGGCTCTCTGCGATCTGCAAATTGCCCTGCGGCGACGACTCCGCCTGCCCCTGCCCCTCGCGCCAAACGTTTGCGGCGGCGCAAGAGCACACGGCTGTGGCCGCCGAACGGACGCGTTCGGCGACCACGCTCTGGCGTGCACGCAAGGCCGGCTGGCTCGCCGGGTGAAAGTTGTGGAGCGTGCCCAGTCCCTGGGCCGGCGTCGTCAGTTGGGGTTGGGCGCGACCCTTGCAAGAGACAGCTCAGGTAGGACAGTCTCGCCATCCCTCGTATCGCAAAAGATCCCGCGCTGCCGCCGTCTCGCGGAGGCCGAATGAAAAAAAAACAAAAAACGCCTGTCTCTAATGTTCCGCCGCGCGGAGTTCCAATGCGACGGGGGCGGCGCACCAGACTGATTTCACGAGGCATTCCACGGCAGCTGACAATGCCCTGCACCGAAGGCGTCGCAAATGCAGCCATGGCGAAATCCGAGAAGATCTTGGATATCGAAAGGCCAAATGCTGAAGTGAATGTTTTGGGCTCAAAGCGTGCTAACTCCGTGTGCCAGGAGGATGCAGAAGCTGATGAATTCCACGTCCTGGGTTTTACACGCGGACGGGACTTTCAAAGCCTTGGATGTGCCAGGACCACCGTCGTTTGAAGCGTAGTGCGTGTGCTGGAATGCGCGTTGGAATGTCTACAGGAAAGCCCTTGCATGCTAAGAGCAGTGAAGAAAGTGGCCACTGAACAATTTGGCAAATATTAAATCTAATCATGCAGGCAGAGGACAGCGCTGCAGGAGAATGCTGACCAAAACCGGGCAAGCTTCCCTAAATTTCGAGGTCGAGTCTCCGTTGGAACGAGCACGTTGTGCCCCCGAACTGTTCTTGTGGCTGGTGTCCAAAGCAGCTGGCGAGTTGCCTCTTGAGCTGGCGCCGTGAACGTTTAGACAGACCTTGTAGTGTCGCATGGTCTTTGATGTAGAAAATTTGCAATGCGGCCCAATTTGCAGAGTGATTTCGTGCAGTTCGTTGCGGGTTCAAGTAGGACGCCCACCATTGTTCCATGCCCCAAACGGACTGCAGTCATTGACTCGACGTGGCACGGTGCTGCAAATATTGACATCAGATCGTCGGATCCTCCACACATTTTCACATGTGCAAACAAGGACCAACAAAAGCAACAAAGGCAAAATCCGACAAGATCTCGTGTGCGCTGTTCACGTCTGGCAGTGCGAATTCAAGTCAAAAAGCATGGGTGGCCTCTGCAAATCATGCGGGCTGCGTGCAAGGATCCACCGGGCAGCAAAGAGACTCGACACACGAGAGGTGTCAAGGCCGGATCAATACATATATATATATATATATGTATACATGTCTGTATGTATTTAACCCGCACGCACTTTGCCCGATGCCATTTTCGGCATCCAAGGTGTCCGACTGGACTCGACATGGATGGCACCTGCCTGCATTGCATCCCAGCTCGGCGCAGCAGGGCGCTGCGAAGTCTGCAAATGATATGATGGAATTACCAGCGTCTTCGCCGTGCGAACTGACTACACCCTGCCGAAACACCAAGAGCAAAAGTTATTAGCAACACAACTAGGGCAGCAACGTTCTGGAAATGGGTCTGCCAACTCAACTCGCGTTGGTTTGCGCATTCGGCTCTGTGTGCGAACTTGGTGTTAAGCGACCAGGCAACCTTCATTGCTTTACAACGGAAGTGACGCTCCTCACCTAACGAGCACGAGAAAAACAAACTTGGAGGGTTGTGTGCGAAGGTCTTCCTCACGCCACGGCATTCCGGCAGAGGTTCCACCATTTCCACCACGACGGCCGTGTATGAAACATGGCGCAGCGGCACGCGCTACCCGCGTGCTGCCGGGCTCGACAACAGCGGTCCAGCAGCGGCGGCTAGGATTCGGACACGGAAACAAGGGGCCGAGCGGAAGTTTTGTGTGAAAAGCACAAACCTATTTTTTCGTCTCTTCCGTTCGGTTGCAGACATGCTGCAACAGGGCGTTTCCCCTAACCCTGAACGCAAAAGCCTGCTTATGCCCTACTCCAGCAATGAGTGCCTGCTGGCAAGGTGCGGAAAAACGGCTCAGAGCAGAATGGTTCTGCGAAGATTTCTGCAAGAATCGAACTCTCCAGTAAAGTCCCTTCCAAAATCTCAAGTCAGGGGCCAGAAGGTTTGAGCGGCTCCTCGGTGAAAGAGTTGCCTCGGTTACGGCAGCCTTACATCAACAACAACAGCTCTAGTTCCAACACAAAGGAAAGCTTTGTGGCCCTCTTCTGCAGCCGGAGTTGCAATAAACGCATGCCTGGCTGGTGATCCAAGCAAGCAAGCAATGCGAGGAGGAAATCTCAACACGCGGCACCTTTCGGCTTGTGGCAGGCTTTGCAGGAGCCGATGCGCGCCTGTGCCAAGTGATGCAAGGCAAACTTGATGCGCTCGTGTCAAATTCACCTTCCGCGGCCATGCCTGCAGCATCTGGCATGATTGGCAACATCCGCTGGGCCAATAGAGGCTGCAAATATTCAACTGGCGAATAACATGCATCGGCAAGCTGCCGGAAAGCAATTTGAAAGTCAAAAACTTGGCGTGCTCGGGGGATTTTTCTCATTTGCCGTGTTGGCCCAGTGACAAGTGTTTTGTCTTAGCACAACTGGTGGATCGGCAATAAATTGGATGACCGCACGGAGCAACAAAACACGGAATGACGCATATTCCCCAATTAGGGACTAGTTGTATAAGTTTTTTTATTTAAATACTCATTATTAGTAAATCCTAGAAAGTTTTATAATTTTTGTAAATTTAATAAACCTATTTTACCATTTTCCATATATTTAATATTTCATTAAAAACTTTAAATAACTGAACCAAAATGAGCTATAGGATTAAGACTACTTTTTCCTATAAAAATGTGCTCAGTTCCTGTCGCAATATCAAACTGGGATCTGGAGTGCTAAATCCAGCAACAAGTTTCACTTCTTTTGGCACTTGCGCTTGACCTCTTTGTGCTGCAGTCAGCACGCTGACAAAAGCTTCCCTGGCTTTCTCTACGACATCGCAGCGCCCTCTGTGCCCTCTACACTCCCAAAGGCCATTGCACATTTCAGCTAAGGAAAATCAGATTGGTTCAAGCTCAACCGGAGGCCTGAACCAAACTCGGACGGATGTGCAGCTCCTGCCACGTAAGTGTGTGAGGCTCAGCCAGCTTTAAACTTTTCACTGCTGTGAACCATCCTTCCACGAATTCCAAATGGCCAACTGCCACTGCTCAACTCACATGCACTAATGCCAGCATTCAAGCTGACGACATCACAAGACACCCGTGCAAAGGCCATGTCGAGCAACAAACCCAGGCTCACATGCCACATCCTCTGCGTTTTACATGCTTCGACGGTCGATTTGAAGCTGATCAGATCGGCCTCAACTTTGAAGTCCGGCATTTGTACTAATACATCGAGTGCCGCCTGCCACTGCTCACCCTTCTCGCATGCACTAATGCTCGAATTGAATGTGATCTCGTTTGGGGTAACACGGCAACATGACATGCTGGGTAACAGATACAAAGCCTTTTGCCACTGTCCAACCTTTTCACATGCACTAATGGCAGCACTGAAACTAAAATCGTTTGGTGCGGAGCTACCTGTTGCCTGGTCTGAAAACAGCTGCAACGCCATCTGCCACTGCCAACTCTTCTCACATGCACTGATTCCAGCACTAAAGCTAATCACGTCTGGCTTCATGTGCGCTACAAGCATCTGCCACAATACAAGCAGGGCCTTCTGCCACTGATCGCCCTTCTCACACGAACTGACAATGGCATTGCAAGTGATGGTACTGTGCCGAATTCGCAGAGCTGACATGTCAGCGAACAACTCCAAGGCCATCTCCCATTGTCCGCTTTTCTCGCAAGCACTGATGCCGGCATTAAACATGATCTGGTTTGGCCAGATATTTTCCGGAATGCCTGACAATAAGCTCAGCGCCACACACCACTGCTCACCTTTTTCACAAGCACTGATAAGCGCACTGATGGTGATTTCATTCGGTTCCAACTCTTCAACGAGCATGCTCGACAATAAACATAAAGCCATCTCCCATTGCCCACTCTTTTCGCACGCGCTAATGGCCGCATTGAAGCAGATGGTGTCCGGCTGGACTTTACTTTCCAACATCTTGCAAAACAACAAACAAGCTTTCTGCCATTGCAAACCTCCCGCAAGCGCACTTATGGCAGCACTCACGCAGACCTTGTTTGGTAACCCTTTCTTATCGGGCATGCACGTCAACGTTTGCATTGCCAACTGCCAGTGGCCGGGGCCTTCACACGCGCTTATGGTTGCGCTCACACCTGTTGCATCACAGTCACCATTGTAGGCATGGAATACATGCAAAGCTAGCCACCATTGCTTCCCCATGCCACAAGCGCTGATGCACGTGTTTCGAGCTATGGCATCCACGCTTGTGCCGGGTGAGAAGCACAAAAAGCTTAAAGCCATGTTCCAATGTTTGCCTTGAAGACACGCATGGCCGATGGCATTAAAACTTATCTTGTTGGGAACCATGCCTTTTGCAACCATGTCTTCCAACAAGTGTGCTGCCGCGCGCCAGTTACTGCCACCCTTACAAGCAGTCATTGTGCCGTGGAATATCGCGCGGGTCGGAACAATCCTGGTCACTGGCATGTTGGCCAACAAACCACATGCGGCTTGCCAGTTCCGGCCTTTGGTGCAAGCCGTCATGACAGCACTCAAATTGAAAATGTCAAGCCCGTGTCCCATTGCGTTGACTTTTGTCGGCATCTGCAACGCCACTTTCCAATGTCTATCGCGTCCACAACATGTGAGAACATCACAAATCACGTGTTGCTCGCAAGTTAAGTCAATGTGCTTCAGCAGCACAAACAGAACTTGCCAAGCAGCATCTCGCGATGTGGGTAGCGGTTTCGATCGCGATCTCGGCTCCGAAGCCACCATGGCCACAGCACATCCAAGACCGCCTGGCACCTGTACGTCACATGTGTT